AGAAATTCTATTATTTTTAAATTAATAAAAAAAATTTAATTTATATATATATATATATATAATTAATTTAATACCTCCAAATTTTTTATTCAAATTTTGCCACTAACAAATAGTATTATTTGATTGATTATTTGGTGTATACTAATAAGATTAAAATTTATCATGTTGTAATCATATCATCTCATATTTTATTATATCTTTCTCCTTGATATGGTCATGGATTTTTAATGTGTTTCATTTGGTCAAGAATGTATTTTATTTATTATTAATTAACTAAACTCATATAAATAAATTATAATTAATATATTTTGTGGAAAAAAAACTTGTAAGAAACATTCATATTCATCTATATTCTATAACATATATAATTCATAATCTATATAATATATAAAGGTAATAGTTTGATAAATAATATTAAAAATTAATTATTTTAATAAATATAAAACTTTTATTAAAAATTTTAAAATTTAAAAGTCAAACACAATACTAATTAATTTAATAAATATTTATAATTTTTTAAATATTTTAATTAAATAAAATATAGAGATATAAAGTGTTTTAATTTATCAGTTTTTATAACAGAGGTGAAACAAAATTTTAATTTATTTTTTTTATAAAAAAGATAAAAGAGAATGTTATTCAACCATCAAAATTCAAAATATTTATTACTCTAAGGAGAATGACTAGAGCGTACGACGTCGTGGAGAAAACAGAATAAAACGGTGTCGGTTGGGGTTCTTTTGCGGTTGAAGCGGAGTACCTCAGATTCGCATCGAGATTCTAACGTCTGTAACCATCCTTTTTGAATTCTATTTTTCTTGGCTGCGATGCTAATATCCTTCTGTTCTACAAATGCATGTGAATTACAATTCTTCCTTTAATTCAACTCTAGAATCTCCGGTGTGGAATGCACCATGTAAAAATTTTATTTATTTTTTTCTTCTCCAACATTAAACTCTTGTTCTTCCCATTGTCAAGCATGCCATGAGTTTTATTTTATTGAATATCATTATGCAGGCTTTTGAGTTGCAGACAGATGCTGAGTACTGATCCATTTTCTCTCCTTTTTGACAATTTCTCAAGTTGCGTTTAGCAGGAAGCCATGGAATCTGAGAGGGAAAGTTTTGACCTCTCAGGACCTTTGCATCTAACTTATGTCTTATGGTAAGATCTATAAAACCAATCTTCCATTTTAATTTTTTCTTTTTTGGTATTTGTGTACCTTTTGATTCTATTGTTTCGTCTTCACCGTGTCTGGTGCATCAGTTGCATGATTGTACTCAATGGTATATATTCGGGATAATATGGTGAAACTAATATCATCAAAGGTTTTAAATTGCGGTTACAATTGTGGTTTGGATCAATGCGGTTGGTGCTGCCGCAATTGTGGTCATGTAGAACCCAAAGTTGTGACCGAGATTTCTGGTGTGGACCGTATTTTAAAACCTTCATGTGCATAACCCATGGGTTCTGATCTAGACATCAGGCAATATGTGGACCTGAATCCGGTTCCCAGGCAGAGAGGATATGTAGTATGTCTTTCAAGACCTATTTTTCTTCTTTAGACTGCATGCATATAGGGTATATTCTTTTTGCATAGAGCTTCAGTATTGGAAATTCTTTTGAATACTTGTACTTATATCCGAGGATTTGTGTTTTCTGTGCCCCTATTAGAAGTATTTGGCTTATACAAAGTCGTATTCTATCTAATTCAGGGATAATGCGTATCATCGAATGTCAGTTGCTTCTTGTTTGGTCCAAGGTGTTTACATTTTAGAAAGGGACAGACAAGAACAACGTGAAGGTTCAAAAGCTCTTGCACCGCCTTGGTGGACATTCTTTCACTTTCAGCTGCTCCGTCCGCTTGTAGACGATGTTGATTCTTCCATCTTTGGTGCAATATATGAGTTCAGGCCTCCATCATCTCAATCTAATGACACTGTGTATAGAAGTCCACGTTATGTGATTGCCTTTAGAGGGACACTAACCAAATCTCACTCAGTTTCTCGGGATATTGAGTTGGACATCCACTTTATCCGGCACGGCCTTCATCAAACTTCTCGCTCTGAAATAGCTATTCAAGCTGTTCGAAACATGGTAGCAACTGTAGGTGATTCAAATGTTTGGTTGGCCGGACACTCCCTAGGATCAGCAATGGCAATGCTTACTGGGAAAACCATGGCCAAGAATGCCCTGTTCATTGAATCTTTTCTTTTCAACCCGCCATTTGTATCCGCTCCAATTGAGAGAATTAAGGATGAGAGGGTAAAACATGGGATTCGATTTGCAGGCAGTGTGATTACGGCTGGACTAACCATTGCTATGCAAGCGAAGAAGCCGAAGGACTTATCTGTTGATCCATTTGCTGCTTTGTCTGCCTGGGTCCCATGTTTGTTTGTAAATCCATCTGATCATATCTGCTCAGAGTATATTGGATACTTTGAACATAGAAGAAAAATGGATGAGATGGGAGCAGGAGTCATTGAAAGGTTAGCAACTCAAAATTCACTTGGTGGCCTACTGATGAGTGCTTTTGGGAAGGAATCTGAACCCCTTCACCTTATTCCTTCAGCTTCTCTGACGGTTAATGTTACTCCTTCACGTGATTTCAAAGAAGCCCATGGAATTCACCAGTGGTGGAAACCTGACTTGATGTTAGAACACAAGCTCTACAATTACAAATAGTTATTTATTGGGATATATTCTGTTTTATTTTTTTTGGGGGGTTGTTGACTCTGGTTTTCAGGTGCAGACTGACGAAATTCATTTTGTATGAGCAAGGTAAATTATGAATAGTTGAATTGTCATTTTGTGTAAATTGATAGATAACTTAAGTGGCTGTTGTAACCTCTAAAAATTGAGGGGAACTTCTCTACGCTTTTAAGCCTTTAATGTATGTGCTGTTATTATTGTAAATTGATGAACAAAACAGTATTTGGTCTTTTAATTTCCTTATTCTTTGCTCATTAGTGCTTTTAATGTTACTTGTATATAGAATTTTGGGCTGAAAATTTGTTTACGCGCGGTTATCCCTGTGGGCAAATCTTTAGCCGAGGGACGAGATGGGCATTCTCAATTGACTTCTTTCTCAACCTTTCTCAGTATGAATTAGCTACTTTTCTTTTCGACCTCAGAAGGAAAAACTAAATTAGCTTCTTCACGATCTAAAATTAACTTATGTATAAATTTCTCATATGAGTTTTTCTATAAAAAAAAAAACTTATGTATGAGTTAATTTTAATTTGTGAAGAAGATAATTTCATTTTTTTTCTTCTTTTATTAATGTTAATGGAGAAATTTACTCATTCAGATTCTTAGAAGATTATGCCAAATTGGTGGGGTGAAGGTTAATATTTCTAAATAGTGTTGAAGTGAAGATCTCTTTCAACAGCCAATATTTTTTAACACTTGAGTACACGTTTTTCCCACCACAGTATACATCATCAGCTTTAAGTCCACGAATTTTCATCATAGTTTAACGCTGAATCAAACGCCATTTACTTAAAGGAAGTTGATCACATCCCGCTCACATCAATTCATGTTGTGAAAGTTACTTTTCCTTTTTAACAAATGATGGATGAACTAAATCAACTAGTAAAAAAATGACAAAATGAAGAAATCCAACTTCAAGTAACTTTAATAGTTGCTTGTGCACAACCAACATTATTAAAGCAAAAATGTGAGGTCAGTAACAGTGAGAGACGGAAATGAGTGAGTGGACCATCTCTAAATTTGCTTTTTAATAAATTTCTCTTCGATCATAGGACAGACTTATTGGAAAATAAAATGTCATGCATAGACACACGTTTTTTTAAATAATAACGCTGTGCACCCAATAATAATAATAATAATAATAGTAATAATAATTCACTGCGTTACTTTAATACTTTTTATGCAAGTTTCTCAATTGAATCTATGAAAGAAAAAGAAAAGAAAAAAACCCTCGATCAATGGGTGATTGACTTAGCTTAATGGTGATGATCCAATGGATTGAAAGCTAAGAATGAGGAAAGGAGGTGACCAGCAAGTCATAACACATGGTTTGAGGGAAAGACATCATGGGAGTCTGTTAGAGCTATTCGAAACCCAGAATTCGAAAGCTATATCTATGAAACTATTCGGAAGGAAGATAAAGGTCGAACACTTAACAGGATCGTATCAGCAGCCCTATTTGGTCACGTGCGAGATGGGTCGAAAAACATTAGTCGAATCGAATAGAGAAGTGCTCAAAAATAAATGAAGAAGGTTACGGGAGGTTTCTTAAAGTAGTTTGAGTAGTTATCTTAAAGCAGTTAATAAAACATTGATCGAAGAGGTAAAAAACACGTGGGGCAGACGGTTACGAGAGGTTTTATTTTAACCCACGTAATGGACTTAGTGGACAACAGTTATGTGCCCATAATACGTGTACACAGAAATAACTGCTCTTGAGGATTTCTATAAGTATGAAAGGCACACTCTTTTACGAAGGTCGGAAAAACTCATACTTAAACTGAACTCTCAAGCACTCTCTGCCTGCACACATGGCTTCCTTGCGAGGAATTATCTTTGGGTATGATCACTTCTCGGCCACATTTCTTTTCTTGTTCTAGGAGTAGTTATAGTGTAGGTTTCTTCCTTTATTTCTCCTAATCACATAGTTGTAGTGCGTTAATTATAACTCTTGGACAGTATGTAATTTGAACCATGATTTGTATTGCGAATATATCCATTGTTCATTCTGTTCATTTTAGCATTTACGTGCATGCAAATTATTACTTGTTAATTATCGAGGAACATCTAGAAACAAGTAATCACTAATCTTCTACTCCTCCTTCTCTCGTCCTGTAGTATTCAAATCATAATATACCTAAATTGAAATATTTGTCATGCTAGTCCGAATATAAAGAATCCTTAAACAAATTCCACCATAAACAAATTGGCACGCCCGGTGGGACTCGTTGAAATAAAAAACATAATTGGACTTGTTTTAGGTATGCATGTTGCATGAGACTTAGGAGTGGAAGGACCATGTCTACATCTAATAATCAGAGAGAAACAAACTCGAACAATAATAATCACGTAGATGTAGAGCACCCCGATAATGTGACTAATGTGACCAGGGGGCAGCATCTTCCCCTATGTTGCTCGAAAATACAGCTAGGCAAACAAATGTTACTCAGGAACTAGCAAATATCACTAGGGAATACCCCTGGGGTATGCCACAGAATTGACGAAATACCCAACCAGTGCATGCCGAAATGCTAGTGCCTTTCTTAGGACCAAATCCGCAAATGCACGTATCCCCACAGGGATATAATCCTGAACCAAATGGCATGGGTTTCGTTATGCAAGACCCATATCAACACGTAGGAACAAGTCAGGAAGGTTCTCTGATTCGATCGGGTAGTTATGTACCTACGGGTATTAGCAACCAAGTTATGATGGCTCTTCGACAACAGATGGACCATAGTAATCATGACATGGTCAACCTGTTGTCAACCCAAATGCATAACATAATGACTCCTTTGTATGAGTTAATAAACAAAATAGGGGATAAATTGGGTGACGGGTCACCCTCGAGAGCTATGAGTTCAAATTTGAATGAGATGGAAAATCTTGGCGGGAATGGAAATTTTCATCAAAATGTAGTTCGACCTAATAGAAATCCAAATGATAACTTAGATCAAATGATAGAAAGGATACTGAATAGACATGGATTCGATGTAGGTCGAAATGAACGTCCTTATTTCGTGTCAGCCTTCCCAGATTACGTGACCCAAGTCGAATTGCCTAGAGGAATAAAAGTCCCAAAGTTTTCAAAATTTGCGGGAGAATTAACTGAGTCTACAGTCGAACATATAGCTAGGTATGTAGTCGAATGTGGGGATTTAGCGAACAATGAATATTTAAAAATGAAATATTTTCCAAGTTCATTGACTAAGCATGCTTTTTCATGGTTCACAACCTTACCCCCTAATTCGATACACACTTGGGTTCAATTGGAAGGTAGTTTTCATGAACATTTTTTCAGAGAAGAAACGAAAGTGAGTATAGTTGATCTGATGAACATTAAGAGACAAAGCCATGAAACTTTAGATGATTATTTAAATAGGTTCAGGCAGTTAAAATCTCGATGTTATACTAATATACCTGAACATGAATTAGTTAGGATTGCAGCAACAGGGTTAGATTTCTCGATACGTAAAAAATTAGTAAATGAACAATTGAGAGATATGGCCCAGTTAGCCAAAAAGGTAAGAAGAATCGAACAAATCAAGCTAGAAAAAGAAAGATTAAGAAAATTTGATAAATTTGTTCGAAAGGAAAAAGTGGCTTATTTAGAAAATTCTGAGTTCAGTGATGATCCTAATTATGAGATTTCGACTGAAGATTTTGAGATCAACTTAGAGGAATTGCGTCCTGGTCCTACGTATCAGTGTCAAATGTTAAAACCAGGAGATAGCGTAGAAGGAAATTTGATTAAGAAATATAGTTTTGACGTGAGTAAGGCAGAAAAGATATTTGATATCTTATTAAAGGATAAACAAATTGTACTCCCAGAAAACCATAAAATTTCACCATTCGAGCAGAGAAAAGGAAAGAAGTTTTGTAAGTATCATAATATGTATGGCCATTGAACTAATAATTGTGTGCGTTTCAGGGATTTGATCGAGAGGGCGATTACTGATGGTCGCCTTGCTTTCGAAGAGAAAGACATGAAGGTGGACGTTGATCCATTTGCTGCCCATACTGGCTATGTAGAACCAGTTTCAATGCCCATCAACATGGTGGACGTTGCTGTCGAGGACGATGAGAACATCGAACCCATTTCTGATGAGAAGCTCGAGGAATTAATGGAGGATTTTGATAAGGAACAGGAGCCTATCTATCCTAAAGAGGGAGATAGCTTAGTCGAGTTCTTGTCAAAGAAGAAGGAAGCTGAGCGGGAGGTTATGTTGTGCCCTCGATGCAGCGCTGTCTTCGATAGAGCCGCGGCGAAGGCTTTCGAGGAATCCGAAATGATGAGAAGCTATAAAGTCGAAATGCTTCGAGAGAAACCTAAGCTGAAGGAGGGGTCGAGTGCTGGATTGAACATGAGGCAAGTTCATATGCCTTAATATAATGCACCAATGGGCAGAATGGAGATGTATAACTCATCCAGGTTCGGCAATACTTTTGTGCCGAATGCAAATGTTTCTATTGGGAAATGGAATGCCCCACCGAGACCAATGGTTGGTGGAATGGGGCGAGGAAAACAGGTAATGAATTATACTGGGCACCCAGTACAAGGAATTCCTGGGAAAATATCGAATATGCCCTCAGGTCCTGGCAGGTTCTCGAATGGAAATTATGGCCGTGGCTTTCGACAGCCTTTCAACAATCTGACCAAAACACAGTGGAGAAGACTGCAAAGGATGCGGAAGGCTACCTTTGATGGTCTTGGAGGAAACCGTTTCTCGATTCCGGTACCTCAGAAAGGGGAATCATCTCGGAAGTTCATCGAAGACGATGAAGATATGATAACAGATTATTTCGAGAGTGGTTTTGAGGACTCCCTAGAAGATATTTGTGGGGTAGTCTCCATTCTACCATCCGAGTACGCTGAGGCTATGGAGTCCGTGAATGAACAAGAGGATATCCTTAGGGAAGACTTCTTCGATGATCCCAACTATGAGTCGAAGATCATATGGGTCAATCAAATCTCGAGGGTTATCCCCAAATTCAACTCTACCGTGTTCGACTCCCCAACAGAAGAAATGAAAGTACACCTTAAGCCTCTATTGTTAACATTGATGATCGAGGGACAAGAGGTGAATAAGGTTTTGGTCGATGGAGGCGCAACTGTGAATATCTTGCCCAAAACAATGCTGAAGAGGTTTGGAAAATCCTTGGCTGATTTGAAGCCTCACAATATAATGATCTCAGACTACGCAGGAAAATCTTCACACCCTGAAGGCATGATTT